CAGACCACCGACACCCTCATCAAGACCTTCGTCCAGACACAGACGGCACAAGGTGCGGAGGGGGGGGAGGCAGATTGGCGCGCTGGGGCCCCCACCCCCACCTGGGAACAGCTTCCATGTTGGCCACACTCCCGGGGCAACCGCACCCCCAGGCGTCTTCGGAGGCTGAGGGAGGCTGAGCTGGGCTGCAGTGGGGCAGCCCCCGCCGGAGGGTCCTGTGGAGGGATTGGGGGGAGGGGTCCGAGCCCTGCTCCACTCATTGCAGCTGAGGACCATCCGGAGCAGGGAATGTCCCGGGGCCCCTCCTGACTAGGGCCCCAGGGGCCCCTTCTGCAGCATCCCAGGCAAAGAGGCTCCGTTCAAGGCAGGCAGGAGGGGCCTCCCCCCTCCCTGCCTCTAAGGGGCTCCCCTCCCACGGGGGCCTGATGGACAGCCTGGCTTCAGGGGGCAGGCGGCCGGGGAGCATGGGTCTTCAAAGCCAAGAGAAATGAGGAATGGCCTCTAGTGGGCCAAGACCCTCCACAGAGACCCATGCCCCTCCCTCAGGCAAGGGCAGCCCCTCCTCATCTTCATCCTCAACCGCCACTTCAGGAAGGAGCCCCCGGGAGGGGCAGCCGAGTGCACACAGCCCCCCACACATCCCCATGGCAGCCATGCCAATTCCTGCCTCTGCCCTCTCAGGCTCCGAAGCGGAGGGCCCCGTGGGCGAAGTCTCCGTCCAGGTCGATCTCTACACGCACCCAGGCAGCGGGGAGCACAAGGTCACAGTGAAAGGTAAGCAGGAGGGGACCTGCCAGCGGGAGGAGGAGCAGGAGGAGCTCCTGTGGGGGGGCCAGCGGTGCCCCCGTTACGTAGGGCATGGAGGGGCGCCCTGGCCGGGATCGGGGAGGCCTCACCCTCTCTCCCTTTGTCCTGGCAGTGGTGGCTGCCAATGACCTGAAGTGGCAAACCAGCGGCATGTTCCGGCCCTTCGTGGAGGTCACCATGATTGGACCACACCAAAGCGACAAGAAGCGGAAATTCACCACCAAGTCCAAGAGCAACAACTGGGCCCCCAAGTACAACGAGACCTTCCACTTGTGAGTCCCCCGGCCTCTTTCCTGGGGAGGGGCGGTCTCTGCCCCACCTGCGCTCTGCTCTGGCCCCTCCTTCCCTGCCCCACTCCCTTTTTCCTGTCTCCTGGGGGCTCCCTTCCCTCCTGGACGAGAGCAGCTCCTTCTCCTTCTGCAGTCATATTAAAGGAAACAGCAGCCCCCCCCCCAAGGGTCAGGAGGACCCAGACCCTCCCCACCGCCTGCTGCCGCCCGGCTGACCCTCCCCCGCTTCCTCCCCTGCAGCGTCCTGGGCAACGAGGACGGGCCGGACGCCTACGAGCTGCAGGTGTGCCTGAAGGACTACTGCTTTGCCCGTGAGGACCGGGTGCTGGGCATCGCCGTGCTGCAGCTGCGGGAGGTGGTGGAGAAGGGCAGCTGTGCCTGCGGGTGCCCCCTGGGCCGGAGGATCCACATGGACGACACGGGGATGACCATCCTGAGGATCCTCTCGCAAAGGACCAACGACGAAGTGGCCAAGGAGTTTGTCAAGCTCAAGTCCGAGTCCCGCTCCCCGGAAGAGGGGAGGTGATCCCGGTCTCCGTCTCGGACTGCTTGGGCCAGACGCACACGGAGCAGCAGTGGCAGCAGCTGCCCCCGTTTCCCCTGGGCGCCCCGGGAGGCGCTTGGGAGCCCCTGTGACACCTTCCTTGCCAAGGGGGTCTCTGGGATGGATCGGGCCTGGGGGGGGACGGGGACAAGGACCCCTTCCTGCTCCAGCAGCTGTGCACAAGGAGTGGGGGCAACATGTGCCCTCCAGGGGGAGGGACATCCAACCGAAGACCCGGCCCCACATTCCCGCCACTCGGGCAAGCCGCAGGCAGGCAGGGAAGGGGCTCCTGAGCCCAGCTGAGCCTTGACTGGGCCGTGACGAGGGTCTCAGGGTCTGGGAAGGGCGCTCGCCTGGAGAGGCCGGCGGATGGAGCCGCGGAGGGCCGTTGGCGCCTCGTCCTCTTCCGAGAGTTGCTTGGCCTCAGTGGCCGTGGGGCAAAAGGACGGGGCGTGGCCTGGTGCGAGCTCTGCTGTCCTCCGTTGCGGGCGAGAGGAGGGGGCTTCCCTTTTCCTCTTGACCTTCCACAGCTTCTCGGTCTTTCTCAGAACGCTTCTAGGCGCTGCGTAGCTGTTGTGGGTACGTGTGATACAAAAGTGCTGTTTCCACCCCCCTTGAATGTGCCACCGTTGCAGGAAGTGTAGCCTTGAATAAAGGACTGTTAGCGGCATTCGCACCTGTGGCCTTTGCCTGGGCTGGCCCCTGCGGCTGGGGGGGGTGTGGGCATCGCGGGGGACCTGACATCGCCCCAGAGCCTCTTGGCACAGCGGCTGCAGAGGAGACGGGCGGCGCATGAGCTCAGGCCCACCAACCCTGAAGACAGCTGCCATCTCTCTTACCCACCGGAGGCCCCCGTCCTCCTGCATAACCACTGGCCTGGCATCCCTTCCTGTGGCCCTTGTGCCCGGCGAACGCTGGAGCCCTGCCTGGACACCGGCCTTGTGCTGGCGCCCAGGAGGGCTGCTCTGCGCTGGAGTCCTATGCGGGTCCTGGGGGCACTGGGGGCTTGGGCCTCGGGAATGAGGGGCGGAGAGCCAGGCTCCGTCCTGTGCCCTGGGGTGGGCTTGATTTTGATTTGATTTGATTATTATTTATAGGCCGCCCTTTTCCCTGAGGGGACTCAGGGCGGCTTACAATTTATAGGGA